TGATAACTGAGATAAGAGTTGATTCTCACACTCTACTTGCTCCAATCTCCTTCTCCTCTAAGCCTTCTCCCTCTAAAGATCCTCTCTTCAAACTTCAAACACACAATGGGCACACACACATGTATTAGGGTTTTAAGGGGCTCTCAAAGACTGTAAAGAGGCCAAAGGAGGCTGAGGTTCCTTTAAATAGGGGTGCAAACCCCGGGATATAGGGTTTCATCTACCAGCTCCTACTCGCCGACTCCCAATATGGACTCGTCGAGTAGGTCACTTAACACGCGATCCCACCCCGCTGCTACTCGACGAGTAGGTCAACCAACTCGTCGAGTAGAGCTTTAACCCAAAAATCTTATTTAAACAATACCTGAAAATCGGGGCGTTACAAAAATCGTTAACAAACATAGCATAGTAGGCATAACCGTCAGTAGATAAGACGAGTGTATGTCCCCAAAAATCATAGTGAATCATATCTAGAATATGCAAATATCGTTTTTCATTTACACAGAAAGGTAATTTATGACTTTTAGCAAGCTCATAGGAGGAGCAAATTCTAGGTTTAGGTGAAATAGTAGTAACAAGCAAATAACCAAGTTTATGTAGTAATGAAATAATAGAAAATGACATGTGTCCTAAATGATTATGCCAGAGTTCATATGATGCATGCAACCTGTTTTGAATTTACTTGGGCAACTAACGCCTTATGACCAAGCTCGAGCACATAGAGACCATTTTCAACCCTGTATGTTGCTAGAACCTCCTTGGTTAGTCGTTTTTGAATAGAAATTTTGTGATTTGAGAATAAAATATCAAGTGGTGAATCAGATGTTAACTTTCTAATGGAGAGAATATTTTTTTGTTAATTTTGGTACAACAAGAACATCTGCCAAATCACATCTTTAGTGAGAGATGGATTACCAACACGAGTGATGTCCAGAATATTGTCATTTCCAAAAACGACATGCTTATTTCCTGTGTATGGAGTGTATGAGGTTAAAGTAGAAGTCGATGGTGTCATATGAGTGGAAGCGTCGGAGTCAACATACCAATCTGAAGAAGTGTCGTTGGTGTTAGACTTGGCATGAAAGGCATGGGCGAGATTAGCATCAATGGAGGGTCCTCGCTGAGCAAATGTGGTCAGGTCCGGACATTGAGTTGCATATTGATCATCTTTCCTACATAGTTAGAAGTATGGGGATCGACGTCCACGACCACGACCTCCAGAACGACCACTTTGACCACCATGGTAAGAACCTCAGTTTGAGGAAGCAGGAGAGCGAGATGGCTAAGAAGTGAATGCAATAGGGGAATCTGTAGAACCATGATAAGATTTTAAAAATAATTCATGGCCTTCAGATTGAGAAAGAAGGTCATGAAAGGGTGGTCATGGTTTGACAACCCTTTTACCCTTTTCAGTTTAGCCAAGACTGCATAGGAACCAGTGACTTTTATCAGTTTCTTCCATTGGTTGGCTAATGGCTGCAAGATGATCACATAAAGTTTTCAATTTTCGAGCATACTCAAAGACAGAAGATGAACCTTTTTATAATTGGCAAAGGGAATCCCAAAGATTTTGCATACGTTGAACAGAATCGTGACGATATTCAGCTTCAAGAGTGGTCTAGACATCTCAGACATCTCGAGCGTTATGTAGTCCAAGGATCTCTACCATTGCTTATTCAGTAAGTGATGCTTGAAGAATTTAGATGTCCTGTTGATCAGCTTCTTCCCAAATGGTGAAAGCAGGATTTGGAGAGGACTTGTCTTCAACAGTGATGGTGGCGAATGGAGCTACTATAGAACCATTAACGTGATTGAGAATATTTTGATACTTGAAGAGAGGAATGATTTGATTCTTCCATAGTTGCTAATTGGAAGAAGATAGCTTGATAGTCAATATATGCAAAATGATGTTGAGGGAGAGGCTACCATCAGCAGAAGAAGAATATGAGGCAGGTGACATGATGAAGATCGAGAAAAATTGAATAGGTCCGGTTAGAAGGATCTTAGAAATGTTGATAACGTATAAGGATTTTATTAAATCAATCTCCCATAATATGGAGAGATATAGGATTCACTCTTTATCACAAATACTATATTACAAGATATGAATTTGAATTACAACAAGATCCTATAAATTAGATAAGGATAAATTTAGTTTGTTGTAGTTTATCGTTAATAGATAGTCCATAGTCCATTTTTGTTGATCATAGGAAGCGTTGAATTTGAGATTAGCATAGTAAGCGAGCTCAACTACTTCTTAACAATGCAAATGGAATAGATTCCCTAAGGGTATATATGTCATTCAAAGAAAAATATTACAACTTCATAAGCCAAGAAAACTACTAATAATGTTACAAAAAATTAGTGGTATGACCACGTGCATGGCTTAGCCGCTTCTTCTTGTATCTCCATGCCACCTGGATGGTGGTTGCCGCCACACCTTGCCAGTATGGAGATTTTTTCCTGAAGTTTCCAGAATGTCATTAATATTTAAAACCAAGTTTCACATTTGTTCGACCACTCAACATTCATTTTTGTTCCATTCCGAATTTTTGAATTGTGTTTTACCTTTTACCGGTTAAACGAGTGAGCTTTATTTTAAGTGTTTATTCTTTCTTGAAGATGACTAGATAACTGTGCTTAAGATTTATTTTTTTCGTTTGTGAGAATATTATTTTATTACATAAATGTATAATTATTATAGATAATAATATAAATTTACAATATTTCATACAAACTTTTGAAAATATAACTACAGGACTCATGAAAATATTTTATTTCATTAGTAATCGGTTTTTTCATCATCATGGCCAATACTGACGTGTTATTAGATTAATGGAAAATTTTCATTTATATCCTTATAAACTTTCATAATTATGTATATATCCTAGTAAAATTTTAAATTACATATATATCCTTATAAAACC